ATTCTAAAAACTTTTTATTTAAGGAAATTTAAGTAAAGAATCATTAGAATACAGTTCAATGTAGATGAAAGGTTCTTTAAAAATGCAGTATATGTATTTCAAATATGAGAGTAAGGCAAAAATTAAACAAAACTACTCTTTAATTCTTAAAAAGTATTGTAAAAATAAAAAAAGAATTTATAATGATCACATTTATTCTTATAATTATTATTTTGATAATTTATGAAAAAAAAATAATAGGAAATGATAATTATCTATAATTATCTATTATTATAAACTCAATTAATTCAGGTTAAACAATCAAATTCTTATACTAGAATTAACTAACAAACTAACATAAAAGCGATCACATTATTTAAAATTATACTAGTACAATGATTCTTAATATTATCATCTAAAACGATAGTAAAAGAACATTCATTTTACTAAGACCATTACTCTAATAAGGAAAATAGAGCTGAAAAAAGCTTCCCCATACTGATCTGTCGAGGGAATTTCGTATAATTTCTCCTCGAGACTCAAACTGCCAATTTCTTACTTGTATAGATGGCATTGAAATTGTACACAGACAGTCGGATCTACCTGATGCTTAGAGGTTAAATTTATGGAATATTTTTGCAGCAATCAATTCTTCTTTTTAGAGCATTTGACCTAACCACCCACAATTTCTTCTTTTGAATTTGATTTCTACTCGTTTTCAAGTAATCGTACTAAGTAGGTCATTATTCAATATTAATCTTGTTCAGAAGGTATTAAATATTTCTAACACTTACATTAATTATAAGTTCTTCATATATTTTATATCATTAATACATTATAACCAGAACTATAAAAATTAATTGCACTCAACCAAATAGAGTTGTATTAAAATATGTCATGATGTTTAAGTTATATAGTATGTCAAACGAAGTCTTTTAAATCATACATGATAATATGGAATATGGAATTATTCCGATCAAAATAAAAGCGATGATAAATGAAGAAAATACAATCGAGCAGAACAAATGAAAATCGGTGAGATTTTCAAGTCATATGGAACTATTATAAAGCTATTAACATAACTTATGCTTGAATATCTGAATTATTTACAATTCACAATCATACATAATATAAAGATAATCTTGTAACCATACTTCTTTAATTGCTTTTGATATCTATTTTAATATTAAATAGTATTAAATTATGGACAACGATATATTATGGACAGCGATAGTGCTGCCAAAACATTAAAGTTGAAGCAAATATTATAGACAGCGATATTGTGGACAAAGCATTAAAGTTGTCTTTTAGAATCATATCATAAATTATCAATAGAAAAGCGGATTAGAACCCTATGAAAAATGTTTTCTTCTAGTTTATTTTGAATATTTATTTGTCGTTGATTCAAAATTTGTCAAAAAGAAGTGAAACTTAAATCTGAAATACCGCACAATTCTTTTAGTGTACTTTATTTCTCCTGCTGCTATATTATATGTTATTTTTGTATTATTATTTATTTCTTAAATCTATTAAACTCTTGCATTCTTAAAAGCTCAACAATATTTTTAACCCTTTTAATCCACTCAAAAATATTTTCATTTTTCTCAAATCCAATGCACATTAAATTGCTTTACACTCTAGTTGTTCCCCTTCAAAGAATTTTAATATAATCAAATAACACAATAACTGCTCTAAGCATAAAATTCTTCTGGCCAACATGTCGTATACGCAACAGTTTATTATACTCGGATCTGCAGCTAAACTCACAGCACTAAAATCATTGCATACTTTTCGCCAATACAATAAAAATATATCATAGCAAAAGCAATAAAAAACGAGATTTTATGAAATTTTCAACAACTCTATTTTGTGTTTTCGTTTTTGAAACCAATTTTTTTTCTATAATTTTAAAATTGTATTAAGCTAACACTATATCAACGTTTCCTTATTATAGTTCATACATACATGCAATATATCATAGCCAGTATCCTAGCAACTTGATTACGTTACGGTAGTCTTTGAAATAGCCACCAGCAATTCTGTCTGAGCTTCAAAAATTATTGCCAATATCAACGTGAAATCAAATTCTTATATACTTACATATATGTGTAAGCTCAACAACTATATATAGTATATATAAATATACGTATGCACACACAAAATTCTTATAGCCAAGCTCACTATTCAAAGCATGTATTCAAGTGTACACACGTAGCAGGAAACGACCACAACAAATATTTTAGTGGCATAATTTTTGTAGATTTTTTAGATATCTTTTGGATTTTCTATACGAAACTTGTTTCATTTTGAATAGTTTTTTTGTGCTAGTTTATCATCAAATATTTTTTAATATCTTGCTTTATTTTATTCGATAAAATTCTATTTTTTTAATTTTCTTTTATTAAATTCTTTTTATTATTTTTCTCTTATATTATTTTTTTATTATTTAATTCATTTATTAAATTCGTTTTTTATTATATTTTTTAATTTAATTTTTTTTGTATTTTTTTATTTTCTTTTTTTATATATTGTACCAATAGGTTAACAATAATTTAGTCCCCAACACTCAATTTCAATCATTATTTGAGCTTTCTTTTTAGTGTCAGCAATTTGAACTATTTTTTATTAATATAAAAATATATTCATTATTTATTATTGTTAGGTATTGGAATATAAGGCCAATCTGGCAGCACATTTTATTGTATTATCTAACATCAATATTATTAAGTTTTATCTAACATTGATCAATAAACTCACTCTCGATCTGACTACCGAGTGAGTAATTCAACACAATTATATATAGTACAATACGAGAATTACAAACAAGAGGTTATGTCGTCATAAACGACCTGCATGCGATGTTAGAAAGCATTTGGCTACAGACATGTCTGAGAGATTACATGGACACTTTCACTGTATCATTGTAGCTTTTGTCGTGCGCTCTCTGTCTTTCTGTTTAATTAGTTCGAAGTATTAAAATTAGTTAGAAGTACGAATCATTAGAAGTACGAATCATAATTAGACATACAACGTCACTGTTTATTATTTTGGAATAGAATTTTAGCTATATATATTATATATAGAAATTTACAGAATCTTCAACATTTTATTCTTAAGCATCGTATGAGATATTTGTATTGTTGGTATCCTTGTCGTATTCAAATAGAAATATAAGCATATTTTTTTGTAGTTTTAGGGTAGGCACATTATTTAATATTCCCAGATACCCAAGAAGAAATATTCCCAAGAATGATGGCTTTCAAGTTGTCTAAGACTACTTTCAACGTTCAGTTTACTCATTAAAAATATCTTTATTAAATACTTCTTTCTCTAAAGAGCTTCAATTAATGGGAAGAGCAATTAGTACGAATTATAAGTTAAATCTCTCCAAATGTTTCATTCTATGTAATTTGGAGTAGATTTTTAGCTAAGAATAAAGTACATTCTTAGCTAAAAATCAAGGATCTTTATTCTTTTATTCTGAAACCAAGAAGGAAACAGTTCTGAATTCTATGTGAATATGGCAAGGTTACCAATAATGCAAATATTTCCTAAAATGTTTGTATTACTAGTAACCTTGCTATATTCACATAAAATTTAGGATTCTTTCCTCTTTAGTTTCAAAAGACCAACATTGCTTTATAAAACTAGTTATTATAAAATTGTAACATTCGGAGTCTTCTCAAACAATATACTCTATCTATTCTATTTTCGACGTTCAAGCTACTCATAAAAAATATTGTTATTAAATACTTCTTATTAATATTCAATAGAAGATTTTAATTAGTGTATATAACACCATTTTGTTATATAAATCATTTAAAATATCTTTTATATTTTGATTATAGTAATCCATTTTTCCCTTATTAATTTTATACATTTATAATTTAAAAAGTTACTTATAGTTGATAGATATCCTTTAAAATCTTTCACCGTTCCTTTTTTATTTAAAATTTATTGTTAAATATATTTCATCTCACAATTTTAGATATTTATTTTAACAAAATGCCATTCCAACTTGAATAAAATGATAAATTAAGAAATTAATTGAAATTTCTTTTTGTAATTATATATTGAAGAATATAATGCTTGAATGATAAATTTAGAAATTAATTTTATACGTGCTTGAAATTATATTCTTCAATATCACAGTCATACCAAGAATATGATTTTGAATGGTGCAGTAGTCCCTCAACAATTCAATCAAAATTTATAAGAAATATTATAACACCTCGCACTGCTTGAATTCCAATGCTTTATATAAGAACAACACAAATTCCTCCAACCTCTAAAACCCATAAAACTGTCAACGTCTCAATGACCAATTCTTATATTATGAAAACGATTAACGCCACGCAAAGCATAGCAGCTCAAGTCATCCTTATGCCGCATTCTTCGCTATTAAAATACCAACAATTTTCATTTTTGCTGTCACGGAAAATTGTCTGCAAAGTTTTTCATTAACAACAAATATAGAATAGAAAAGTAGGTGTGTCCGACCAAGTCAAAAATCCTTTTCATTAACAAAGCATAACTACTTATTATGCTTACACTTTAACAGCTTAGCGACAGACTGCAGGACAACAGACAGACGAACAGACGTTTTCGCGAAATTCGCTTTCAGAGCTGCAATGCCAGCAGCGGCACGCAATGTTACGCGCTAGTCTCGACCGGAAAACAAAAAATATTTTATTCTATGGCAACGCTCTGCTGAGAAATACGGGCGCACAGGACGTACTGGTATAAAGACAATTTATCATTGTTATGATAAATTTATGAGCAGATTTCTTAACGCTACATTTAATTTTAGCGCTAAGCATGCCTGATTTACCAAGAGAGCTGTGAGTAACTTTAACGCAGTGAAATGATAATAAAACAATAAGACATTATGTATGGGTATGGGTAATGGGACTAATAGGATGTTGAAGACAACACAATTTGCACGGCTAAAAATATTTAAAAAATTCTTCCTTATATTTTTTTACATATTTGTACTTAAATTTTCCTTTTTTTTCTTACAGAACTTTATAGTGCGTGGTTCGAGCCAACCAAATACAATGGCCGTTTCAGTGCGTCTACCACCAGACACTGGACCTTACATCGAACACTATCTAATACAATCAAATGATGGCATTTTAAGTTTAGAGAGTTCACGTTTTAAGTTTGATTCAATTCCTGCATTAATTGCACACTATGCCCAGTGCTGCGATGAACTTCCAGTTCAGCTTGTACTGCCACGTGCATTACGTGAGGCCAAAAATCGTCAACAATTATCGTCACTTGCTTTGTTGGGACAAGAATTTTGGCGTTATCCCATGTCATGCCCAAAACCAACCGAAACAGAGGCTATTCTACTCGATGCGAAATCACCAAATTCCTTAACTGAAACTAGCGGTCTGGGTGCAACTGTATTCAGCAACTCAGCAGGCTCAAACTGCGTGCAGCAAACCGCAAAAGTCTTCAGTCCAACAAATAATGTAAATGGTCTATTCAGTCAAGCTGGCACACCTTCGGATACAACATCGAGCATGAGTTCTTTCACTACATCTGGTGGTCAACATATGCAACTTATGAGTCCTGAATCAGTAGACTCGGTAATTTTAACCATGTCACCGGTGGATGTTAGTAACCAGCGTAATGGTTTGCTTAGCATGAGTAATGGTACTGAAATACCCAATAGCGCCAATAATCTAAGTACGTTTAAATCAAATGGTACCACTCAAATACCATATAAGCCGAATAAAAATCACATAGAGAGTGGCATAAGACCACAACGACCCAAACCGCCAAATACTTTAAATCTAGATTTACGCAAACCACCAGCGCCACCTTTACGTTGGTCCAAACCCATCTCGCCAAATAGTCCATTGCCACCGGATCACAACATAAATGCAGCTAATAACTTTACAGTTACAACTACAGTTACATTTTCCGTAGACAATAAGAATTCACCACAACTGGTAGAGGTGACAACACCAGCTACACAACATAATCCACTCACAAGCGCGCTCAATTCGAGCAACACTTTCCAAACGTTTGCCAAACGTCTTTCACCTGAAGGGGAGTGCAAAGACACACTCTCTTCGCAAGGCTCTTCAAGCGGCAGTCGTTGGCAGTCACAAAGTAGCAAAGATTCAAATAATAGTCAACGTAAGATTTTGTCTCCATGCTCAGCCGGTACGCCAACAAGCGCACATGGTGGTGGTAAGTCACGTAAATCAAAAGCGCGTAAAGAATCAAAACATTACCAGGAATCAGATATACTGGAAAGCCCACAAATCTATTGTCGCAGCACTTTGGTTGATAAAATAAGCGATTATGAAGATCTTTGGTCGCAAGAACCAACTGATCGTGTTAGCTTACTGACCAGCTTCAAACCGCCGGACGGTGTGCAAGGAAAACGACCAGATTTACTCGCTGAAACACGTAAGTTTTCTATGGCATATGCACCAAATAATTTATCTACATTATTTTTTTTTTCTTTTCAGCGACAATTACTTCACTTAACTCCAACATACTGTCACCTGCTAATTGTACCATTTCCTCTACTAGTCCGCCACATGCCAACGAAAATACCGCTACACACACTGCCGAAGTAACTTCTGATACACAACAATTGTTGCAATTCACAACAGAAGCTCAGCCACGTACACGAGCCGCACTTAACTTGCCAGTTATCATGAGTCAGTCACTTGCTGATGATCAACTCAAAACGGATACCACAGAAGGTGAAAGCACACCTACTGCTCAGATGCCAGCATCACGCAGTAAACAAGGTAGTCCATTCTATGCAGAGCCAGCAGATGCTTTACGACAGGCTGGCCTAGCCACAGCTAGCATATTACGCCGTTCTCAGCGTGGACCGCTCTTGCCAGCCAATCATAGACATTCAGAACCACCCAAAGGAGGTTTAGCACGTACGCCAATGTGCCCACTTTTGGTACCAGCGGAAATCGAGAAAATTGCTGGTAGTTTGGATGAACTGAAGAAGAAGCAAACCCAGCAACAACAAGCACAACCGCAGCAACAACCAACGAAACGCGCACGTGGTCGTTTTGAACAGTGGCAATTGGATAGCAGTTGGGAGTTTATGGGCAAGAAAGATGATGAAGATGATGAAAATGGTGGCAACTATGGTGACTATGATTCTGAGGAACAATGGAAGCAACCACTAACACAATCGAACCAGGAAAAAGAAAATTCACTTGGTCGTGAAGCCAACAAGGAAAACAAACAGAAACCTATTACTGTTCATCAAATTATAGCAAAACGTTTTCCAGATTTTAACTTACCAGAATTAATACGTTGCTCTACACCACAGCAGCAACAACAACAGTCAGGACAACAGACGCAACAACAAAATGGCGTTAAACACATGAGCGAACTGAATGGTAGTCAAAAATCATTTGATAGCCAAAACAGTTGTCGACTCTCGTCCTATGATAATGTCGAGCGTAATTTTTCATATTGTCAGTCGTATTTTAATGGCATTGACGACTCGGCACAATCTGATGATGGCACTGTATTTTCAGAACCATGGGACTCATCATTAGTATATGTCTATGAAGGTATATTTAAAATTTTAGATGGTAAAGTTTGTATTATAGTAAAAATAAAATTTACTTCCAGATAATACACTTAATTCGGACACAATTCATTTGTCAAAATGTCGTCCTGTCGTTTCTGAAGATGACACCATCATTGAAGAGCTTAGTACCAAAGAATTAAATCAAGATACCTTGAAAGCCCGAAAAGGAAATAGGCAAAAAGTAGCTACGATATTACGACATCCCAGCATCAGAGATCGAGAAGTACTTTGTAAGTTATAAATTTAAATAATAATTTAAATTATTTTAGCATATATATATATATATATATATTACTTTTAAAAGCGCCTTAGATAAGTTAGTGCTTTAGATAGTAGTGGAGTATATAAAAAAATACGGTCAGGATAAATTTTAAATGTTGCTTTAGAACTTTATATACACATTGTTAATTAATAATATTTTTTGTTATTGTGGGCCGTTCTCACGGAATGCAGAAATTCGTTGATAGAAATAAATATATACGTAACATATATAACATATAATATATAACAAAACAGCTCTGACTTAAAAAATATATAAATTAAGTTTCCATAACCTATAGATTTGACAAGTCATAAAAAGTCAGCAAAACTCATTTAAAAAACATATCGAGATACAGAATATCAAAATAAATCTAATACTTTTAAGATCTTAAAAAACCTTTATTCGAATATAGTAACTAATTTTTATACAAATCTTTTGTCAGTAACCCATAATTTAATTTCTATTGTGTCTTCGTACTTAATAGGGTTCTAAAGTTATAGTGACTCAAAGTTGTTTTGTTTTTTGGAATATTTTCAATATCTTTTCAAAATTCTTTCTAAAACAAACTTTGTATAAAATTCTGAATTTATTATCTTACGTATTATCTTACGTAGATTTTAATTATCTTAGCAGTACTCGAAACAACTCTATAGGTGAGATTAGGCTTTTGAGGCTGCTTTTTGGACCAAAATGGCCCTTTATAATACAACAGATGAAACACTGTTCACACTCCTCACCTGAAAGAAAACCTTAAAGGTAGAAGTCCCTTTGCACGTCTAGTGCAAAAAAGTATCAAAAAGATATGTCTGACCAATTTAACTAAAAGAAAATATAATCTATATTTCACACAATCTAGAAAAGGAAACCATCCTGATAATGGTACAAACTTGGGAATGTTCTTAATTTAAAAAGATGATAACTTCGTAAAGTCAGTAAGAAAAGAACACCAATAAATTTTAAATCTTCATCTAACCAAAAAAATGGTACCTTCACATAAAGTAGAGTACAGTTTTTCCCTCATCCAAAAAGTGTTATTTTGCTACCATCCATTGTATTACTGGCATATACATGAATTGAATAAGCGTCTCCAGTATGGACTTCTGTAGAAGCTTACAGAATGATGAAAGAAATTATTGAGAAATTGTCACTGTCCAGATAAATTCTTAATTTTTTGTGAGATTTCTACCGGATAAGATAGTTAGGTTTATTGGAAACCAGATGAGTTACTAAAGCCTGTTGAGAAAGCGAAATTAGTTTTGCAATAGTTATACGCTAGGCATATGTGAATCTCAATATCTTTTGTTCTGAGATTTTTATTATAATAATAATATTATATGTAAAGTATTATAACAAAAAGTGAGTTTTGAATACTCCCTGAATAGAGGCTCATATGAATGGAAAAAAGAATATATTTACTGAACATTTTCGAAATGTCAATCTTGTTATTTTATTAGCTAAAAATAGAAATTTCATCACAAATAAGAAAAACTCGGGTTAAACAGAATAGATAGAAGAATAGAAGATTTTAAATATAAATATTAATTTCCTTATTTTATTTCGTTTCATTAATTTTCTCTACCATGACCCAAAAATAGAATATCACATGTATATTTAAAATGTAATAAATATTTTATATTTCTGTTTTTTTTTTTATTTTTCGCATTTGTAATTTACGCACTTCATTGAAATACTCAAGCAGTCGTAGTACTCCTAATCAGACTTCGTCGTCTTCTCAGACTGCAACTGATAAAGATGCCGCGTATTTGTCGTGCGTTTCTTTGCACTTTTCAATTCTTCTGCACACCCGCAAACGTTTCTCGTGTCAATGTTTCCTGAACTATGAATCAAGTGACAATATTACTTAAGCGATATATACATTCATTCATTTATATATATGCAATGAAATGCATTTCTAATCAAATTTATCAATTTACACACTCAAAAATTACTGCGTCTTTTAGTTATTCTGGGGCTCATCGCTTTATGAATTTCCCAGCAATCGGTACTGGTCCGGTACTAAGAAAAGTAAATATTTGTGACGAATTCGTCATTTTTTTCCTATAAGGTTTGTTACTAATATTCAATAATATTTAATAATGTAAACTTCTACTGTGAGTTTTGCGTGTGGCTGCTTTTAATGCCATTTAAAGTTTATGTCAATATTTTATATCAAATATAAAAATGCTTTTATAAAATGCGCATTTGAAGAATTCCGAAGCTGGTTAGAACCAGTTTTAGTCCAGGATTATGTAGGTTACTGCTAATATGAGCATTACAATAGCACATTCCTCAAGATGATGAGATAAAAATAATATTGTTTTAAATTTTTCTTTTTATTTTCGAAAATTAATATTTTTCGAAAATTAATATTTTTATTATGGTTTTATATTATTGTATAGTTTTCGTATTAATTGCTTAATGTTTTTATATATATCTTTTAACTTTCGAAATTGATTTTAACTGAGTTTTTATTCTCAAATATTAAATAGTCTATAAACAGTTATTAAAACATCGCTATATCACACTATAACATCTCTGAAAGCATATAGTTATTTTGGATAAATACTCGTATATTGAATATATATATAACTATATAGTTAGATGTATGGAATTGCTTACAAGACTTTCATTCTTATAATCAAATCGAACATATGTTACTATAGTAAACTTCATGAACAGTATAATTAAATTCTGGTTGTGATTGGTGCAAGCTACTTTGTAGATCTGTTAAACAGAAAAAATGAAGAATGCAAAACGACTCCTAGATGTTAATCTTTTTTTTTCGATGAGTTCTAGAAATTCTAGAGTGACAGTCTTGTACAGGAAAGCTCACTTAAGCACAAATAATAACCCGTTATGGTACCACGAATGTAACTTTGTCCGTGCGCTAGACTTTAAAAAGCATAATTAAAATTGGATTTCTAATCATATATTACACGAACACACTTTCAATCCGATTAGTATATATAGTAGAAAGTCACCAACCAACCTGATGAGTTTATATACTGGAAGGGACCAACCTCATAAGTCTGTCAATTTGCTTATGTTCCTGTTTTTAAAGAGTGACAACTCAAATAGGTAAGTCAAATAAGTTAGGAAATAAGCTCCAAAGATTTTAAATGTTCCCTCATCCAATGATGGACATTAACACATGAAATAGAGTACAATTTGCTTCTTATACACAGAGTCACTAAATGTACTAAATTTATATTTGTATTGCGGCTCCAATATGGCTTGTACGTAACACAGATTGACATTAGACATTCTCGGGGGTCCACTGATGCTCAATGATAAGACAATGTTTTTAACTAAATTACGATGACAGTCTTCCAAGTTTCCGTTTTGTATGAGAACAGTTTTTTAACGACGATGATTTTTGCCCCCGGATCGTTATATTATCGTTGACAAACAGCTGCGGCTAAGTATTAGTTTTAAGCGGCTATAGATATTGTATAGTATAGATATTGGCATCAACGAAATTGTTGAATTTCGTTATATGATAATTATGCTTGAAAAATGGTCGCGTCATACTTGTAATATAAATAATTCTATTTCAAATTTTTGTGTTCTATAACTAAAAATCTATTTCTAATAAATATGGGTATAAAAGCGACGAACTTATGAATCCAAAAAATTAATTTTCATTCGAGTAAATTTCTGAACTGACCATTCAGCCGTCTTGATATTGTCAAATAACATATTTATATCAGTGCTCTTTGGAAACAACTATTGGTTTGATTGCTTGTATATATATGTACAGTTCAAATTTGACAAAGTTCAGTACTTGAAATTATATCAAACTAAAAAAAAGACAAGAACAAAAATTAAGTTAATTTATTGAAATTTGGCTGAGCATACAACGCTGTTTCGAGTCTTGCCACAGACCCATCATCAGTGGTTTTAAGAAATATTCGAATTTCTGGCACTTGCAGTCCAAACAAATTATATACGGACTATAAACTAATTAAAAAAAAATTTTAATATTTCCAAAGGCCACTGATGATGAGTACGTGGCAATACTCCAAAAAGCGTTGTATGGTATGGTCAGGTAAAGTTCAATAAATTATCTAAAAAATTTAGTTGCTCAGTTTTCCAGAAGCGTGAAGAATATAATAATTAATTCTTTATTTTCGGATTTGTGAAGGAGAATTAAAAAGTTTTTAATTTCTCAAATCTATTGCAATGATCATTAAATATACATACAAAATTTAATAATGAGTTAACGAAAGTTCTTTATAACGACTTTTATGACATAAATTACACTCTTATTTACAAAATAATAATGCACAATTTAAAATTTTTATTTAATTCATTTGATGTGCAATATTTTGCAATATTATTTAAGAGCTTTAATAAATTTTTTTTATTATTCTTCTCTTCAGCTATAATATCTTAGAATTTATTGAAGTTACTTTGAATATGTCAACAAAGCAGTTAAAAACAGTTTTTAAATAATTTTATATCAGTTCATTAAACTTTTAATATAAGTCAGACATTTAGACAATATTGTGTTAGATTAGATTAAAGACTTAGTTACACATTTTTCTAGAAAGCACATCTCTAATTTCAAATTTCTGAAAACTGTAACTAAAACTGTAGAAAACTTAAATATTAAAAATAACAGACTTAGTATTAAAACTAGTATATAATAGTTGTAATCTATATATGGATTAAGATTATTTAAAATAATCTAAAAACATTTTTTATATATAACTTCTATAATATCTCTTGCTGACTTACCTATATATACTGAGTACTTATGATATTTAATACTTCTATTTGTTTTGGCGTATCTATGGGGTCTCGTTAAGTGGTTTGGGATATCAAATTGAAAAAATCATATACTATTTGAGGGAATAACTTAAATATTTTTTGTTTGGTAGATAATTTTGTGTTATAACTAAAAAATTTTATACAGTTAGTCGTTATCGAAATATATTATAATACGTTCATGTTCATGTTGACTCA